TGGCGCCGATCGATCGGTGATGCATCGCGAGCCCCAGGTCAATGTTTCCCCTCCTCCTCCTCCTCCTCCTCCTCATCCTCCTCCTCCTCCTCCTCCTCCTCCTCCTCCTCCTCCTCCTCCTCTTCCTCCTCCTCCTCTTCCTCCTCCTTCCCCCAGGAGCTTGCCCCCGTAACGCTCCCCCTCGGGGGGGGGGAAGGGTCCATTCGGTCTGCCGTCCGCGCGTGCCGTGGTCGCGCCTCGCTCGCCTGTCGCCGCGAGTGTGCTCGGAAGTGCTGCGCGGGAGATGGGATGGCGCTGGATACTTCCAGGCCGTCGATTCGACGGCATTAGATTGTGCCTGCTCCTTGCACCTCGCAGGTGGCCCCTCGAGCTGGTCACTCCAGGAGACCAGCTTGGGGCGTCCAGGGGCCACCGGGGGCCCTCCGAAGGCCTTTTGAGGAGGAGGAGCAGGAGGAGGAGGAGGAGGAGGAGGAGGAATAGGAAGAAGCAGGAGCTATCGGAGCAGGAGGAGGAGAAGGAGAACCCTAATTACATCCCACAATCCATCCGACACTGACAGATGTATGAGTCTCGGAGACACTCCACGGCGTGCCCAGATGAGGTGGCGCGGATCTCTGCGCCGCGGCATCCGGTTGGGCGCTGCCCAGGAGAGCGGTCGCTTCAGGCTGCGGCCGTTCGTGGGGCAAACACTTGGATTACAAATCTCAGGGGGGTCCTGCCGTCGTCCTTGGAGCGGCATCCAAAAAAGGGGGACCGAGGGCGCAGGCATTCGTGCGCAGTCTGCTCGCGCGAGGTCGCGCGAGAGTAGGTATCTTCCCGCGCGGTGTGCGCACGAACGCCCTGCGTGAGGGCCCTCTTGGAGAGGCTGTTGGGCATTCGTGCGGGGGGTCCGTCGCGTGGGTGCTTTGGGGCGTCGCTCGCGCACATGCCTGACGCCATCTTGGGCTGGCAAGCAAACGAATATGAGCACATTGTACGGGCAAGGCGCGGAAATAAGGAACAGCTGGGGTTCGGAAGGGGCTCATTGTGCCCATAGTTGTTCCTCCAGCGCTCCTCGTGCACCCAGGCGCTTTGGGGGCCAAAGAGGGGCTTCGTTCTTGAATGGAGCTTCCTTGTTGTAGTAGCTGGACTGTATGGCCGCTGGGCCAGCTGACCTTGACAGTTCTTATTGTCTGTTCCTCCCGGGGCCAAGGCTGGAGCTCCTCCTGGGCCCTCGCGCGGCTCCTCCTGGGGGCCGCTGGACGCTTCGGACGCCCAAGAAGGTCTTGGCACCCATCAGGGGCATCGGCGAGGTGGGACCGGCTCAAGGTGGAGCACATCGACCTCCAATCGCTCCTTGATCGCCGACAGGGGCTAGATGGCCCACCCCGCTCAGGAAGGCGCGGTGGCTATCGGGGGCCGATCGCCGACCTATCGGCGATGTATCGCCGACTACGACTCGGTGGTTCCCCCCCTGAGCTAGTCCCCCGCATCGCTGCCCCTCAAGTCATTGGAGGGTGGAGGAGGGAGGGAGGGGGGCAGGCAGAGCAGGAGCAGCAGGGACGTCCCCTGGAGGGCTGGTAGGCTCGGCGTGGGTCGCATGGCTTCCGCAGTGGCAGGCACGGTGGGCCTCCGCCACTCCCTTTGGCAGGCAGCAGGCGTTCCACCCGAGCTGGTCGCGCACGGGCGTGGCTCCTCGGCGATGCTGGGCGTTGTGCCTTTGGTTGGGTGTGCCGTCTTGCGGGTGAGCCCAGAGCAGCGAAGATACCGCGCCGCCAGAAGCATTGCCTGCATGGGCTTGTAAAGTCGAGTCGGGGAGGTCCCTCCTCCTCCTCCTCCTCTATTTTCTCCTCCTCCCCCTCCTCCCCCTCCTCTTCCTCCTCCTTCTCCTCCTCCTCCTCCTCCTCCTCCTCCTCCTCCTCCTCCTCCTCCCCCTCCTCCCCCTCCTCCTCCTCCTCCTCCTCCTCCCCCTCCTCCTCCTCCTCCCCCTCCTCCTCCTCCTCTGGCGTCGCATCGTTTCGGCAAGTGGGCCCCTTGGGTCTGTCGACGACCTCTTCCCTGGGGGGCTGGCGCACTGTCCCCAGGCCCTCTTCGACCGC